TGATTTCAACGAGATATTCTCTCCAGTTGTTCGATTAACCACAATCAGAATTGTTCTGGCAATGTGTGCTGCATTTGATTTACATCTTGAATAACTTGATGTAAAGACTGCTTTTCTACATGGAGAACTTGAAGAGGAAATATATATGCTCCAACCAGAAGGTTTTGAAGAACAAGGAAAGGAAGATTTGGTTTGTAGGTTGACCAAATCTCTGTGTGGTTTAAAACAGGCGCCAAGGTGTTGGTACAAGAGATTTGATTCCTTCATTATTAGCCTCAGATACAACAGATTGAGTTCAGACCATTGTACCTATTACAAGAGGTTTGGTGATAATGATTTCATCATTTTGTTGTTGTATGTGGATGACATGCTGGTGATAGGCCCCAGCAAAGATCGAATTCAAGAATTGAAGGCACAATTAGCTAGGGAGTTTGATATGAAGGACTTAGGACCAGCAAACAAGATTTTAGGGATGCAAATACACCGAGACAGAAAAGATAGGAAGATTTGGCTCTCTCAAAAGAATTATCTTCGTAAAGTCTTGCGACGCTTCAATATGCAAGACTGTAAGCCAATCTCTACCCCACTTCCTGTCAGTTATAAATTATCCTCAAGTATGTGTCCTAGCAATGAAGCGGAGAGGATGGAAATGTCTCGAGTGCCGTATGCATCAGCGGTGGGAAGCCTTATGTATGCCATGATTTGTACTAGACCAGACATTGCACAAGCAGTGGGAGCAGTCAGTATGTACATGGCAGATCCTGGTAGAGAGCATTGGAATGTTGTAAAGAGGATCCTTAGATACATAAAAGGAACCTCTAATGTTGCATTATGTTTTGAAGGATCAGAATTTATTGTGAAAGGCTATGTTGATTCAGATTTTGCAGGAGATCTGGATAAAAGGAAATCTACTACTGGTTATGTGTTTACACTTGCTGGAGGGGCAGTAAGCTGGTTATCTAAGTTGTAGCTTTGTCTACTACAGAAGCTGAAATGGCAGCTACTGAGGCATGCAAGGAAGCAATCTGGATTCAAAGGCTATTGGAGGAACTTGGGCACAAACAACAGACTACTACTGTGTATTGTGACAGTCAAAGTGCTTTGCATATTGCAAAGAATCTAGCTTTTCATTCTAGAACAAAGCACATAGGTATACAATACCACTTTGTTTGTGAAGTAGTAGAGGAAGGTAGAGTGGATATGCAAAAGATTCACACCAAAGACAACATAGCAGACATAATGACAAAGCCAGTGAACAATGACAAGTTTACATGGTGTCGATCCTTGTATGGCCTATTAGGAATATAAGCAACATGTAATTGTAATATATATATTAGTAATGTGTGTGAAAATATGATTAACTTAATCATAATCTTCAAGTGGGAGAATTGTTAGTCCCACATCGGTGGGAGTTCAATTAGGAGGACCTCCTTTGGCTTATAAAAGGAGGCTTAAGGGTTCCTTAAGCATTATCCCAAAATCCTCTCTTTCCTTTTCATTTTGTATTACACCGAGCTTGTACTTGGTAGTAATAATCTCCTATTTTGAGGAGTAAATTTTAAAGTGAGGAGTAGTGTAATTTTTCTTCTGTGATAATTTTATATTGTCTTTATTGGCTCTTATTTTTCATCTCTTATTTTAGTTGTGTGTTATTATACTGATACTCTGGTCCTAACAATTATGAGTGTATTACAACATGTTTTGCATTGAGCTTATTTTCGTGTGATTTTTAAAATTAAATTAGAGTCATATTTCATATTTGATTAGATATAATTAGATGAATTAACCTATTTTGCATCTTCTGATATAAACCATGCATGGGGTCTCATGACACAGTGAACCTTGAGAAGATGGTCCGATTCCAATAGATGAAAGTTTGTTTGTTCTATGTAGTTCTTAATTATTTGAAGGGCAATATGCTTTCTTTGATTGATGTTACGTTGTTTTGTTCATCTTCATTTGGTGTTATCGTTGCTATTTTTTTCATGTCAGGCGATGTTTTGTTTTCTTTTACTTTAAGTTTGTTTTTATTACTTATAACACTGCTTTCTCTTCGTACAAAAAATATCTCAATGTCAGTTTATGATCCCTTCTGTCTCTTTGCTTATTCTCCAACTCTAAATATGTGTAGATTGGAATTCACAAATTTGTTGTTTTTTACCTGAGTTTTTAGTGAGATGTTTATAGTAAAAAATATAGGCTAACACTGATCAAGGCTGTTTTTTTTAAGATACCTATATTATTGGATATCAAGAAAATGTTTTCTTGGCTAAGTTAGAATTTTTACCTCTATTAATCTTATCACTTTAATTTTCATTTTGATATAATCTTTTATCTTTTTTAAGTTTCATTTTGATCATTTAAATTTTAAATATCAATTAAATAAGTTTTTTTTGACAATCACATGTACTTATCAATAAAATATAAAAAAGGTAAAAATAACAATGATAACAATTAAGAAAAATAAGACAAAGATAATAACAAACACAGCTGAACATAATTAAATTAAATATTGATATATCTACTTTTTATGAACTTTAATCTTAAGTAACGTGAGACTTGTTCTTTATATAACACTTATATTTTAATATTATTAATTATAGTTTTTACGTTATGATGATGATACTATACATCATTTTTTTGTCAACTATACTATACAGCATTGAACAGGTAGCTCCCCCAAAATTAATTCTGGGCCTGGCAAAGGTGAAGGTATTTTGGACTTATGCAATCACAGTCAATGATTTCTTTTTTTTTCTTTTTTTTTTTTAAGTTTTCTCAACTTTTATTCATATTAAAATAACTCTAAACCAAAAGCACACTTATTCAATACCTTTTGGGTATGGGGCTTATACTTTTCTCTTTCCAAATATTCTTTTTAGCCATAATTTTTATAAATTTGTTTGTCCTATTACCGCAAAACGGGCTTTATGAAGTTTTTTTTTTCTTCCAATGTTTGTGAAGTTATTGTGTATATTTTAATTTTTAAAGAAAATGCATTTTTCTAAAAAAATGTTTTTTTTCAAAATTGTTTAATTCAAACATGCACTCAATGAAAGCTTTTCATTTGAACCAAGCCATTTACTACTTTCTTTTTTGGGTCAACCATTTACTACTTAATTCAAGCATCATATTTGTGGGTTTGGAATGGCTTAATATGCTTATATGGGCAGGTAAACATGGGTTAGGGCAACGTTTGTCACTGTTCATTTTATACGATAGGACCCATAATGAAAAATTAAATAAAGTTATCCTTTTTTTTATTATTGTTATATTACCTATGTTTGATTTTCCCAATTACATAGAGTTTCGTGAAAATTTGTCCACTAGAATTTAAAATAGTGGATGAGAATTATTCCTCAGAATTCAGGGTCCTAGGCAGCTAGAATTGCATGCTAGTAAACTAAACATGCTTTTGAAGCTGATTACGTCACTATGATATTTTAAAGAGCATGTCCAAATTACTCATAAAACAAATAGTCTTATTTTAAATGAATTAATGAAGTAAAAATATTATATTAAGATTCTATCAGCTTTTTATTTAATTATTTATAAATAAATTTCTATTAATTTATATGAAATAGAATTGTTTATTTTAGTGAATAGTTTAGACAAAATCCATTTGTATTATGTATATTTTAAAATTTTATTAAATTTCAAACTTGAAAGTAATTCTACTCAGTAGTTGTATAGAAGGGATCACTGGAGCATAACAGCAACAGTTAAAATAAAAATTAAGGAGATCATAAAATTAAGTTAAGCTAATATAATGTTTATTATTGTTATTATTTCCGTATACCGTTCTACCTTTAATCAAATCAAGACTACTGTATGCTTTGTTAACTCGAAAATGGTTCAATTTGTAAATTTAGATTTCTTAACTAGAAACTTAAAAAGTTTAAGCGCGTGTTTAAATCAGTTCATTTTAAAACTAGGGGACTTACACATTTTTATACTGATTATTTTTCTAAATATATCAAATATATGTCAATAATCATGCACTTAATTTTCAGTTGCTGCATGCAGTGGTTTATGATATAAATGGAAGATTCCACAAAGATTTTAAATATTGTATTATCTTAATTCCCCTCACCCAGTTATAAACTCCCAAAACTAATTGAATATAGCACAATTCATATTCCATTATGTCATCTTATCTTATTTCTCAAAATGTGTCAGGCAACAGAAAACCATGATTTAGACTCATTAAAATGGTGAAGAAAGCCAACTTTTTGGAAACAAATTAGAAGAGAGACAAAGTGACATATAATAACAACATTGGTTTTCTCATGCAATCTGTTTTATTTGGAGTTAGCGTTTCATTCATTATTCCATCAATCATTCAAAGCATTATTATTCTCCTCTTCTCCTCGATAAAAGATAAAAGGCAAAGCCCACCATCACTGTTTTCCTTGTCCATTCAAACAGACAAACAGTCCTCTCTCTCTTTTTCTTCAGGTCCTCCTTGTTGGGCTGAATACCCTTCCTTTTATTCACTTTCTCTTTTTCTCACTTTCCTTTTCTCTCTCTCTCTCTCTCTCTTTCTCTCTTTCATCAGCTTATTCTTGACAAAAGTGATTATTCCATTCATAATGTTTAAAGCTTGTTGTTACTTTGCTGCATTTATTTTATACTTCCCACAAGCTTTTGATAATCCACTTACCTTTACAATGTACAAGAAAGAGAGAGAAAGTTGCATATCACAGGCAATCCACTTCCATATAAAAAGCCAAAAAATTTCCCTCACTGACAAGAAAGGCACAAAACCCACACAATATCTATCTTGCAGATGTTGCTATAAGTGCACCAAACAAAGTATAAACCAGCATAGAGAGAGATATCTGCGTATCCTCCTAAGCCAAAGAAGCCTTTGTTTTTACACTACCAAATGAACCTCATTCATCCAAAACTCCATTAACTCTTCTCTAAGTCTAACCTTTGTACTTATATATAGAAACATCTCAGTGAGTGTTAGTTATTATTATTACTTTTGAGAAGATATGAGAGGAGGTATATGTAGCATACAGCTTCAGGCTCTTACACCTGAGGCTGCAACGGTTGTTAAACAAGCTGTTAATCTTGCAACAAGAAGAGGTCATGCACAAGTGACTCCTCTTCATGTTGCTAGTGCCATGCTTGCAACTTCCACGGGTCTTCTTCGCAAGGCTTGTCTTCAGTGCCACTCTCACCCTCTTCAATGCAAGGCCCTTGAGCTTTGCTTCAATGTTGCACTCAACCGTTTACCAGCTTCCACTTCAAGCCCTCTTTTGGGTCCACAATATTGCACTCCTTCACTTTCCAATGCCTTGGTTGCAGCCTTCAAACGTGCCCAGGCTCACCAGCGCCGTGGATCTATTGAGAACCAGCAGCAGCACATTTTGGCTTTGAAGATTGAGGTGGAACAGCTCATAATTTCCATTCTCGATGACCCAAGTGTTAGCAGGGTCATGAGAGAAGCTGGTTTCTCTAGCACCCTTGTTAAAAGTAGGGTTGAACAAGCTGTTTCAATGGAAGTTTGTTCACAAAAGGCTCCTGATAGGAGCCAGTCCAAAGAAAGCACTAAACCTCAAGTTCTTGGTGGGGGTAATGTGTCTCCATCTAGACCCTTTGGTCAAGTTGGTGGCTCATTCATCAAGCCGTTAGACCATGTTAACAATGAAGATGTAACTAGTGTGTTGAGTGAGTTGGTGAAGAGGAGAAGAAACACAGTTATAGTGGGGGAGAGTGTGGCTAATGCTGAGGGAGTAGCTAGGGGAGTGATGGAGAGGTTTGAGGTAGGGAATGTTCCTGGAGACTTGAGGTATGTGCAATTTGTGAGCCTTCCTCTTATCTACTTTAGAAACATTAGCAAGGAGGAAGTTGAACAGAAACTAGTGGAGGTTAGAAGCCTTGTGAAAAGCTATGTGGGAAGAGGGGTTATTCTTTATTTGGGTGATCTAAAGTGGTTATTTGAGTTTTGGTCAAATTATTGTGAACAAAAAACAAATTACTACTGTTCTGTCGAGCACATGGTCATGGAACTTAAAAAATTGGTTAGTGGAAGTGGGGAGAGTAGTAGACTGTGGCTTATGGGGATTGCAACTTTTAAAACATATATGAAGTGTAAACTATGTCATCCATCCCTAGAAACTATTTGGGACCTTCATCCCTTCACAATTCCAGTTGGTAGCCTGAACCTAAGTTTAAATTTTGACAGGTAATTAATTCTTTATTCTTTTATATTAATCTATTGTGTGGTTTAGAATTATTTTTTATGCTTTTAAAATTCCTTTCTTTCCTTGTCTTATTGAGTGCTTAGTTGTAACCTCTGTCTGTTGTTTCACATTATAGTGATTTTCAAGCTCATCAAAGAAGCAAGGTATTTTTCAAGGACATGACATTTGAAGATAGAGCAGGAGTTAGAAATCATCTAACTTGCTGCAGGGATTGCTCAATAAATTTTGAAAAAGAAGCTGAGAGCATAACTAACAGTATAAGCAAGAAAGTTTGCACTGCTAGTAGCTTGCCAACATGGCTTCAAAATTGTAAGGAAGAGAGAAGTGACATAATGGAAGATCAGGTTTGTATCATAATTCTGAACACTTGGTTCATTAAAAATAAATTATCTATAGGCAATACAGTTTTGAACTATTTCTGATTTTTTCTTCCTTTGTGAAACAGGAAAATGGAAGGCTTAAGGATCTGTGCAAGAAATGGAACTCATTATGCAATTCACTACACAGACACCCTTCCATTATTGAGAAACCAGTTTTCTTTGTTTCTTCCACTCCTTCATCTCCCACTTCTGTTTCCTCACGTGAAAGAAAGTCTAACTTGCATCAGAGCCATCTTAATTGGCCAATCATTTCTGAACCAGAAAAAGCACCAAAAGAATGTGAATTATACACTGAAACTGGCGATGATGGCTATGATGGCAACTTCATAATGTTCATGCCAGATAGCAGTGTCCCTAAACCAGATCTTCTGTCAAATCCCAACTCTAGTCCCAACTCAGCTTCTTCAAGTGAAGCAGTGGATGGTTTAGAAAGCACTCAAATGTTCAAGGAACATACTTCTGAGAATCATAAGATTCTGTGTGATGCCTTGGAGAAGAAGGTTCCACAACATAAAGAAATTATTCCAGAGATTGCAAGCACTCTCCTTCATTGTAGATCAGGAATGAGAAAAAGAGAGAACCACTTGATGAAGAGAGAGGACAATCAAGAAACTTGGATGTTCTTTCTTGGGGTGAATTTTCAAGCCAAAGAGAGTATCTCTAGGGAGCTAGCTAAAGTTGTTTTTGGCTCTTATAGTAACATTGTCACAATTGGTATGAGCAATTTCTCTTCCCTAGGATATGATTCCACTGATGAGAAATCCAAAAGGAAGAGACCAAGAGATGAGTTGAAAAGCACTTATCTACAAAGATTTGGGGAAGCAGTGAATGAGAACCCTCATAGGTTGTTCTTCATGGAAGACTTGGATCAAGTTGATTACTTTTCTCAAAAGGGTATAAAGCAAGCGATTCAAAGTGGAAGCATAACACTTCCTGGTGGTGAATCTGTTCCTCTCAAGGATGCCATTGTCATTTTCAGTTGTGAAAGTTCCAGTTCATTAGTTTCAAGATCACCAGTCAGAAAATCACCATCTGCTGAAAACAAAGGGAAAGAGACATTGGATGAAGAAAGTTCGAGCCTTTCTTTGGATCTGAACATAGCCATTGAAGATGATAGAGGAGACACTGGTATCCTAGACTTAGTTGATAAACAAATTAATTTCAGCATACAAGAATTGTGATAGTTAGGAAGAGAGAAACAATCTTCTATGTTAAATTTGGGTGTTACTTTTTTGTTTCTTTATATTTTTCTCTTCTTGTATTGTTTTTTCAGCTACACTTAGTGGGGGCAATGAAAGGCATGAATGGAAAATTATGTTGAATAGAGATACACAACTTGAAATAGAATTTTCAAGCTTGGATGTGTAAGGTATATTTAGGAACGAGTCTGTGTATATGTTAATGTTCTCCAATCTTTTGCATGTAATTGGGTTCCTGTTCTAACTAAATCTGTATTCTACCATTAATCACTGGTTTTCAATTAGAGAAAGAAAGTTTTTCCATATTTCATCACTGATCTGTTAAGTACTCATTATCCTATTCAACAATAATATTCACATGCTTATATAATTTGTTTAATCACACCGTAACATTCATTATATAATTTTTTCTCTCTCTCTCTCTCTTTCTTTCATTTTTTATATAAAAACATAATGTACATATTAATGATTTTCTTTATAGAATGTATAATAAATTCACATACTATTCTTTTTCTATTATTAATATAAGTCGGTAGAAATATTTTAATGGTGAGAAATCTGAAACTTGAGCAAGAGAAAAATGTTTCTTAATAACATAGATCAACAAGAAGATGTTTCTTTCATTTTAGAATATGCTTTTTAAATGTGTATATGTCAAAATGATATATAATATAAACGAGAAGTGAAATAATTTATATATAATAATAATTTTTAACATTTAAACAAAGAACTAATGATATATAACATTAAAGAAAATGAAGTAAAAACAAGGAAAGCACATTTTTTATTTTTTTTATCACTTTCCATATGCAATGGAAAGTTTCTGTTCTCATTCAGAAAAGCAAATATATACATAATACATTACAGGCATTCAGTTTCTGAAACAGGATTTTCGCTGACACAAATGCTTGGCATTCATACAATTTCTTGTCGGAACACCGTACCATTTTTTCAACTTTAAACTTACATATATCAGCAAAATGGGCATTAATAATAATTTTTTTATGTCCATTGACATTAATATTTCGAAAAGTGATTTTAGAAGATTTATGGAGGGGGAGTACTTACCAATAAGGAGGAAAAAATGTTTAAATATGATTATGAATTTTCATTTTAGTTTTCTAAATTTTTTGTTAATTTTTGGTTAATTTAATTTTAAATTCTCTAAAAGAATTGATGTCATGATTATGTATTTTTTAAAGGGTGCATACCAGAGTCAAATAATTTAAAGTGAATAAATTAAATTATTTAAAATTAATTTAGATAATTGAATCACTTTGAATCAAAATTAAACCAAATTAATTATGATTTTCCGGATCTCATATCCGTTTTGTGAACTTGAAATTGTTACCCATAATTAATTACTTGACTAATTAGTCAACTTTTTTAAGTGACGATTTTAAGATTATAAATATTTTTTTATATAAATATAATTTGTTAATTGAAGTCATAATTTTTTTTATTTAGGTCATGTATTTAATTATATTCAAATTGAGTATAGTTACTATAAGTAGTAAAAGTTTTTTTTTCTAAATATTTAATATAGGAATGTTCATTAAGATTTAAATTCAAAATTATAAATTAAAATGAAATAACCTGTATCATTTAATTTACGTGTTTGATATTTACTTGAAGTCACAGTTTACTCTCACAAAACAAAGAACTCGTATTAGATTGTCTTACTTTTAGATTAATAAACTATTTTTAGATTCTCTTTATTTCTTAAATATATTAATTCAATAAACAATGTGTAGTTGATTTTATTTCTGTATATTAAAATTAAGGAATGTTTTACTCCTAGTAATTAATAAGTACAAAGCATTATGATGATGTTGGTTCAAGTTGATTAGCATAAATACAGTTTAAACACATTGTTTTAAAGAAAAAAAAAAGTTAAAGGTTTTAAAAAGGTGGATTAGTATTATTCATAGACTAAGCATTTCTGCAATGTAAAATCAAGTTGTGAAAAGCTTTTTGTTTCAAAATCATTTTATCATGAATGGTAGAAGTTAAAAAGCAACTCATAGAATCAAGTATGGATATCATTAAGAAGCATCTAATGCTAGCTAGTTGGAATGAGCTCATACATTCCAATATCCTCCCTAGAATGAATTATATCCACATATTTTGTGTCCTATTATAAGAGTTCCTCATGATTCTAATTCCTTTCTATTGTCACAGCCATAATCTCACCTGAAAAATGAGGAGGAAAAAAGTTAATTTACTTTTTATGTGTATTTAAATGAATTATTTTTTATGTTAATTAATTAGTAGATAATTGTTACAATTTAACTTTTAATTTTAAGTTTGAGTTTCATTAAGTGTAATTGTATTAAATAGTAAGAAAAATAATTTTATAATTTACAATAATCTTACTCAATTCAAACATGACTGTTTACAAGTTTTAACAAAATCATTTCTTTTCAGAGCTTTTTAATATATATATATATATATCAACCAAGGCATTTATTTGTATTTTCCAATTCCAATCACACTTCTCATTTAGCTGAATTAATACACTAAAACACTTTATCAAATTTTTTATCAGCTAAAAAAAATTTATTACCTGCAAATGCACTGTATTCATATAATATTTTAAGTGACTGTTTGATTTTATATAATAAATATTTTTAATATTTTGCTAATGCTTCCAAAAATTATGACATGCTTCATAAAATAGAGTCTACAACAAAAAGTACTCAAAATTTTAATTTTTCAGACTTCTTCGGCCTCTATATTACTGGTCGTTGCTGAACAGCAGAATAAAGCATACCTTTTTTCTTAACTTTTATTTCTTTTTTAAATAAATATATTTTAATTTTATAAAATTTCATAATTGAATATAGAATAATATATCTATATAGAAATATAATGTATTAATTATGATAAATATTACATATTTTTATTATTTTGAAAATAAATTACGTACCCTTTATTCTTTTTCTTTTTTCAAAAAAATCCTTCCAAACTATTCGTCATGAAACCAAGCTCTCTTTTTATGTAGCCTTCACTATTAGCCCATCGTTTAAGTTATAGTTAGCTAAGGTAGCATAAAGATAAATTATTCTAATTTTTTTCCTCCTTTTCTTTTTATTCCTTAAAACAAAGTATGAAAAGGAAAAGTTATGAACAAATTGAAATGACCCAAGTATTGCTAGCAAAGTGTCAAAGGCTTTTAAAGATAGGCATAAGTTGATCTTCATGAATGCTCTTAAATCTGCAAAGAAGGGGACAAAAATTAAATTGACCTTTATAAACAAAGTTAATGAATTAATCCAAAATATATGTTCCTTCCCTAACTTATAAGAAACCTGCACCTCCTTTTTCAAAAGATTGTGCAACTTTTTTATAAACATATATATTTTAAGCTCTTGGATCTTAGTTAAGTCTCAAGTCTGAATGCAAACAATTGATCATCAACATATAAAAACTATTATAAATATATTATGTAAATATAATTAGAATTAAGTAATATAATGCTTATATGCACAAATTTTTATAAATATTGTATCTAAGTCCAAATTCAGATTTGTTTGACAAGTGAATATCCCATCCATGACGGGTAATTAACTTCTATAAATACTTGAAAAGGTGGATGAAAGAATTATTCATGGCGTGAGCATTCTGCAAAGAAACAATTGAGTTTTTAAAGGTTTAGTTGGTTTCAAAATTGTTTATCTTTGAATGTTAGAAGTTAAAAAGCAACAATTATGAATATCATTAAGAAGCTTCATGCTAGTTGGAATGTGTTCACACATTGCTATACGAGTTGCAATAATTATATGTTGTAAATTTATATTGTATTTTAAAAATAGTTTTAGTATTAAATAATTAAATTAGTAACTTATATATTTACATACATAAATAATAAGTATTTTATTAAAATGAATATTACAATAACTAAGAATATAAAAATTAATATTTAATGCATTTTAAAATATTTTTTTATAATTATGATAAAATACTCTGATAATTGCTTCTTGTTAATAAAACTATAAGGAATATCAAATACCAACCATATAACAAAATAAGCATTTTTACCTGACAAATTTTCTGCGATTTAAACTTTTTATGTATTATTCAATCACAGATCAAATGTGTGTGTAAAACATTATAACTAGTAAAAGCATAAAAATAAAGTTTTTATTTTTATTTTTTGATTTTCCTTAAAAGAAAGTAGAAACAAAAAGGAAAAGCTATAACTAAACTGAAGTGGCCCAATCAAGTGTTGGTAGCTAAGTGTCCAAGACTTTTAAAGAGAGGTATAATAAGTTGATACTCAATGCTCTAAAAGATGCAAAGAAGGAGACAAAAATTAAATTTCCCTTTCTTTAGCAAAAACACTTCAGGGAATTAATCTAAACTTATGTGCCTTCCCTTACTTACAAGAAACCTACACCCTCCTTTTCAAAAAGATTGTGTAACTTTTCTTTTCAATTTAGCTTACTCTCAAATGAAAATAAATATTATTTTCTTCACTGTTAATTTACATTAGTTTTATAAACTAAACTATACATGAAAATTATATATATATATATATATATATATTATGAATTATTAAAATTAAAAAATAAAAAGTATGAAGTCATATAACTCTTTTGAAATGATCAAATGAATTTATTTTTTTATATTAATAATTTATGTACAATTAAAATTTATAATACTTGGAGACAATTTTTTGTCAGCCATGGTAGTTTTACTAATTAAACTTAACCATGGTTATTTTTAAAAAGAGGATATTTGTGGTCTAGATAATATATATATATATATATATATATATATATAATTTAAATTTATCATTCTCATTATCACGTAAAAAGTATTTAATGTGTGTTTTGTTTAAATATATTTTTAATTCTAATTAATGTAATTAAGTTCATTTTCAGTTTTTATTGTTTTATTATTTCAAACCTCAAGTTTTAAAATAGACATTCTCACCCCTTAAGAGTAACATGACAATGTATCTAATCATATTATATCAATAATCATGATGAGATAGCATGTAATATAATATAATATAATATGTTTTGATGATAAAAAAACACTTTTAAAATTTACAAAAATTTTTAAAAAAATCTATATTTACATAGACTAATACACGCACTTCATATTTCTCATGTTCTTACAGAACACCAATATATACAAATAAGAATTACAATAGATGAGGTCTAAACTATGTACTACAGTAATTATACCCATATCCACATCTAGTGGTGCTTAGAACTTGACCATGTCCCTCAACCCAATTTGATTCACAGTATAAAGAGAGTTGAATCTAATTTGACACGTTGATTTATAAAATATATGTGGGTTATGATATATACAGATACTCATGCTGTCCACTATCTTACCAACTTATTTTATGCAAAAGTGCAGCGATTGATGCACACTAATTGTCACCATAGTCCATAACACAAGCCCTCGAGCACTGTACCCATTAGAGCAAGATTGTGGGATATCATTCTAACTCTTTTTGTCAAAATAGCAAATCTTATCATTAAAGTTTTTAAACTTGGAAAACAAAACATTTTCATACGCCTTTAGTTTATCCATATCATTGATTTTGACATTTTGTATACATAGTAGCTAGACTAGAGGACGAAATCAAATATCATATAAATATCTTGCTGAAAGAAAACTGTTGGTGATTTCTCCCTCCAGATTTTCTTCTTATAGCATTAATTGGTGCTATTCCATCAAAATTCATAGTAAACATCACAAAGGTTGTTTTGCTGAAGAGGGACATAAGACTGAATTAATCCCCATGAATTATATACAAGCCGACAGGAAAAAGGGACTTTTCTAGACTAAATCTTTATAGGATCAAGCAAATGAAAATTGAAAAATGTGTATCAAATGTTTTCTTTCTTTTTCTTATGAAGAAGGAGTCTATTATAGACTGCTGCTACTGTTTCATAAAATATTATAAATCATCAAGAACATGTTACAACCGATGAATTATTATATGCAAAACTGGTGATTGGCTAATACAAGATGTGTGAATGGATAAGTTTATAGGTACGTTATAGAACATTACCTTTATGGATTATAGAGATGAAACAAAACGAGAGGATAAGGAATGAAATTCGTAATGTATATATCACAATCGTGTATTAAATCTATATATTTTTTAATTTTTGTTTTTTATATAATTTTATATTAAAAAATAGGTCTAACTTACTTTTAAAACTAATTATAAAATGAAACATTCAAATCTTATGAAAAATACTTAACTTTATTCTTAACCTATGTGAAACATTTTGCTTAACTCAGATACGCGTAACTGATCACTTCTAAAAACACTTTGTTTTTCAAATGCCAAACATCTATTATATTTTGAAAAAGAAAAGGAGACACTTTATTTAATTGGTCACTGGTTAAAATTTAAATTTAAATCTCACTAGAAATATATTTTGGGGGTGATCGACCTCTAACAAATTTTATACCGGTTTACAAACATTTTTTTTATTCCATGAAAAAACTTGTTTATTGTTTGATATATGCTAAAAATAAATGCTGCGGTAAAATAGTTCACAGTATCCAGTGCACATATTTTAAAATAGAAAAATAGAATAAACATTATTTTTATAATTATAAAAAATATATATATGAAAACCAAAACTAAAGTTTGAAAACACACAAACACGCGTTAATTGGTAGAATAATTTTAGTTTTATTTTAATATATTTTTTATATAAAAATGTTTATACTTATTAATTTTTAATGATAGGATAATTTATTATTAAAAATAGTATGAAGTGTGTTTTAATTAAATTCAAAATTTATTTGCAACTTGAAGAGTGATGACTTTATCCCATGTCAATTATTGAACTCTTTCTTTAACTGCAATATTATGATTTGCTTTATATATGTTGTCGTAATAAAATTGGAACTTATGATCATTGTAGAAGGCATCCCAACGGCTAAAAGGCTCTTTAAATACCGAGATATTGCATCAGTCGTCTCTGCCACTTTAAAATCTTATAAATATGATCTATAAATCATTACAGAGACGAAGAAAAGTAAAGATAAAGAGAATTTGAAAAGCATGACCCCACTAATTGTATTATTTTTAGGGTTCATCAATGCTCTAAAGCATTCAAAATGTTCATACTTTTCAAAGGCAACGCAACTTTTCTTCTTTGCTTTGAATATTGCACTTCTCTGTCACCCTAAACTACCCATAACACCCCAAACTTTTGAGGCAAAGGAGATAGTGGCATAAGAGATTGGCATGGAGACAAAGTTTCCACACCTTGAGCTTTTGCAGTCTTTAGGAAAGAGAGAAAACAATAGAGCCTTGAATGGCTATGTTTCCTTTATGTGTAGAAGGCCACACCCTCTTTTCAGTTCTCTCTTCTTTCTATTACAAGTGAATTTTTGCATGAAAGTAAGGGATTTCTCGGATCTACAACTCCCAATAATCAGTGTATAATTGTGGACATCTCTTTCACATTCATACCTTCATCTTTGCAGCCACCTCGGATCCTTCAACTAGCTGGGGACAATCATAATGGATCCATAACTTTATTAATTTTGTTCATTTCAATCTTCAGACTTCAATTTAAATATTTTATTATGTTAAAATTATTAAAATATAATATTTTTTTAATTGCATAATTTAATTTTAAAACTTGAAGTTAATATTTTTTTTAAAATTGTTAGTGGGAGGGAATGTTGTGAGGAATGGCGTCTGTTCTAAGACATTACATATGACCAGTCAAAAAGGGCACATGCCTTGGAAATTAACGAGAATGGATGGAAAAAGTTAACGATGACCTGATACACTGCTTACAAAGATTTTTTCTTATTTTGGGCTTCTTATGTAAGAATAGAATAAACAAAGTTGGTGCTTTGGAAAATGGATCTAACAACAATTTCATTTGCATTAAGTCCTATTTTCTTCAGATTGTTTTCGAGTTCTCATCATGCTCAATATATCGAACAACCTAATTTATTACACAATTCAATCCCAGCATGTAACTAAGCAAAATTTCAAGAGAATGCACAACCAAGGGCATTAAATAATCCAAAAATTAGTGTATGCGGCCAGAACTGTGAAATATAACCGTTAAATCCCTCTAGATGTTTTTCTTCAACATATAAATAACTACTTTATTTTAATTTTTCAAACATAAGTAAATGTAAACTATTAACTTATATAGTTGTGAATATTTAAAGAATTTAATGATTAAGTGAATGAAATTCGCATTTCACTTATATCATTCAATAGTAGAAGTCTTGCACCAAGTTTTTGTTTCTTTACTTGCAACATGCTGTGATGAATACTTTAAGATATTCTTGAAATTTTAAGATTAAGTCTAGTAGGTTAACGCAATCCCTTTTTCTCCATACACCTATCTAAATTTATTAAAGCCAAGCAACAATACTACACCTGTACCTGGAAAATGTTTGATAAACTTTACTTTGCATGCTTCACAATAACAGTTGTTCATCCAAGACCAAGCAGACAACATAATAATAAGCTAACTAAATGTTTTATCAAACAAATTTTCTAATATGTACTAAAAAAATACAAGTGAGAACTTATACATAGTAATTTTTTTTATTAAAAATCACAGGATATCATAAAATTCAACACATTCTATGCAACAATTTTTAATAAAAAAATGTTATTTATTATTATTTTTTATTTTCTTAAATACACAAAAAAATAATTTATGAGAACTACTGCACAACCAAGAGGCCGATTTACTTGTGTAGAAACATATATTAAGAAATAAAAATATATTATCTTTCCATCTTCTCACTTCTCACCTGCTCAATCAAGAAGACCCTAAAATATAGTCGTTGACTATGCCTGTTTGAATAGGAGAAAAGTTATCGTCCAGAAAAAAAGAAAGGAGAAAAGTTGAGACAAATTTAGAAAAGATGCATTCACAGTGGCTTGGTTAAAAAACACTTGTAAATATGCTTATGTTGTAGTGCAATTCACTTATACTCATATAACTTCACCAACCCCTATGACATGAAAGTAAATAAGAAGTGTCTTTTCCGACTTGAACATTCAATATGATCATTAAAATCATTTTCACATCTTTAAATTTACTTTCAACCTTCACAACTTCACCAAGTGGTTTCAAACGGCTGATCGCCAAACTAGTATATCGAAAAATACATAACAACGTACAAATTATGTTCCATACAAAGTTCAGCGTTCTAATATTCATCAAAGCCACAAGAATGAGTAATAATTGGAGATATTACCTTACTAGATGGAATGTCAAGTAACAATATCAAGTCTCATATACAGGCCTATGCATAATAAAGATCAAAGTATTTTCAATGAACTCTTTTATTCACTCAGTTGGGTCCTTCCCAAACCTCATAAGCACGTGGGTTGCAAGCATTGATCCCCTGCGTGTCATTTCTGCAATTCTGCCAAGCAATGGCAGCTTTGTGGTTTCTCTATTCGAAATTGGTTTTTTGTCCCACCTATTTGTTGTAAACTTAAATTTAGTCACAGGAGGAATTATTCTAGTTTATATTGTTTAAAATATTGAATAATTATTTACTGTTTTGGTACACAGGCGAAATATTTACTTGGCTTAAGAAAATAAAGTTCAGAATTCATGGGGGAAAATAAAACCAGCAATATATTCACTTAGTTTCTAGAGCCCAAAATGATACGTAAAACTAAATTATCAGTTCAACAGAAATAATTAAGTCTGTTATATTTTTTATAAATATAAATTTTATTTTAAAAATACTTATTATATTAAATGATGTAATTAATAATTTGTATATTTAATGATATTAATAAAAATGATATAAAAGAAATTTAGTAATTAATGTATTTTGAATCTATAATATATTTTTTATAACAATATCATTTGTTTCTTATAATAAAGATCAAAAAAATATTTTATTTTATTTTTTATAAAATAGACAAAAAAAGAATATATAATTCATTTTATAGAAGTAACTACATTAGCATTAGAAGCGATGAAGACATCCCAGCACAATAATTGATGCAAAAGACTGTGTCTCTGCTCTAAATTAGAATTTAAATGGCCTAACAATTAATCTAAAATAGAATTTGGCTAACTTGAAACAGAAACTATGTTAAATAACTTCGTTGAAGAACAACCTGAGATAATAATGTTTAAATGTGAAGGCACAACATTGGTTTACACAATTGTAACAACCAATGAGTCCATGAACATTAGATGTGCGAGATTATATATAAAACAATATTCAATTCAACAGTCGTTCCATATGTTTTCTCTTCAGAGGCAAAAATATGAAGCTATATGACATTATAGAATAAAATGCATAGTTTCTTTCAGTACTGTCAAAATTAAATTTTTTAAGGTAAATGTTAATTAGTGTTTTAACAGTACTCATTAACGAATAAAAAAAATATTTTTATTAAAAAATGTTATTAATGCACTTTTCTACATGATTTTAATGAAAAAAAATCATTTTTCATTTCTTAATCAGGACACTGATTAATAAGATATATATATATATATACATATATATATATATATATATATATATATCTATTTATTTATTTAAAAGAAAAGAGCAAAAACTCCTGAAGAGAATAGTACATACCAGTCCTCATGGCGAACGACTTTACCCTCCTCAATTTGCAACTTGATTAGTGATACCATATCTATGTCCTTTCCCAAGAATTTATAGTATTGCTTATTGTCAATTAATATCTGTATGCAAAATCACTTGAGTTTTTAGCAGAATCAAAGATTGAAGTACTGCTACACTAAGTGACACTAAATTTACTAACCTCTCCTTTTCCTGATGAAGCCATATTTTCTTCAACAGTGTATTCCACAATCTTTGACTCACTAAATAGCTAAGAAAAAAACAAAGTGGGACATTAGTTCAACGTTAAGGGAAAAGAAAAGAACAAGTCCTGACACAAGATTACTTTATCTAACATTAAATAGCTGATATAGGAATGACTAATCAGCTGATTAACATTATTTTAAAGAAAATAGAAAAATACATATTCTAACATGATACAACAACCTTGCATTATGCAACAATTATATATATAATGTTCTTTCAATTATACTTTCAACAAAGATTATATTTAGATAGAGAGGAAAATGCAACCTTGGGAAGAGTATAGAATGCTGATTTGATCTGCTTCACCCTGCGTTGTGTATCAATAAATTAAAATGCAAACCTAAACCTCAATCTCCTTAACACAATTTTTACTATGATTGATCAATTTTTTTAAAAATAGACCGAATATAAAAAGTGTAACATTTCTGTTTCGGTAAAAACGAAAGAAGAAATAAACAATAAAACGAAGGCATACCCACGAGCACACATGAGTGGATCCTCAAAGGAAGCATGTGGAGCATAGATTTCAAAATCGCGAGACGTTGCAGTGGATCCATAGCTGAATTTAAAATGAATTAATAAAAAAAAACACATCAATCAATATAAAATAGTTGAATTAATTAAGTTCTCCATAACAGAGAGCTCACAGACGCAGAATCTGAGGAACTATTCCATCAGCGAAGTTCTTCTTTGCAGCGGAATCGCTTGCATCTTTGTAACTGCTCTCTGTTCCTTCAAGTCCAAGCGCGACCAAACAAAGAACTCGTTAAGTTGTGACGATGAAACCAACAGTAGTAATGCGTTTACAAGGCTATTGAAACAGAAACAGCGCGAGACATGAATTTGGATTACCGCCAGAGTGCGTTTCCATTGCAAATTTTGATAGAAACCAAACAGAGTCTTTGAGAAAGTGTTGTGCAGTGTATACCAATGGTGGAGCTTTAGCACGCAACGTGGCCATGCTACCATCATCTATCTATCTATGTACTAATTAAATGCACGAATTTTTATGTGAATATATCAGAAAAATCATTATTAAAAAAAAAGAATTATATATTTTAACAATTAAGAATGTTTTACGGATTAGAAAACCCTTCCTCGTATTTAGTTAACTTCTCAACATAAAATCTAAACTAAAAAGTTTAGTCTTCGCACAAGACTTGGATCAACAAACCGCGTTATCTTAACTGTCATCAATTCGTTCACTAGTTTCGTCAAACCAGCCATTTTGACGAGTATTCCAATACTATATGACAAAAATGATATGCTTGTTTAGCTGGGAGAGAGAATTGAAACAAAGACAAGGAGAAAAGTTTATTTTTTGTCACGAAAAGTATTTGGGGACTTTGAATATGATGGTTTTCAGAATTGTAAAACGAAACATTTTCAGCATTTAAAAAAATACTAACACATTTCGACTCACTATTTTAATATATTTTTCTATCATTAAATGGATTCATTTAATTATCATTAAAAAATTAAACTTATTTTCCATTTCACAAATAGGCTTAAATTTCATTTAGTAATAAATAATATATTAAAAATATTTTAGAACATATTATTAATATTTCTCTTCAACACAAATCTTGCATCTCTGAAGATAGAGGTTCTTTAGTAATCTATTTAATTTCATTTCTATCAATTGAAATAAATTGGTAAATTAAACACTAGACTCACTAGTCAACTAGTGCTAAAAATGAACTTCACCGGCCTGTGAGACTTTACCCTTATGTTTTTTTTTATTTCTTGCATTATCTTTCCATTCCATCACTTTAAAACATCCCAATGTTACCATTCCTACCGTGCAAAATTCTAAATTGAAAATGACAAAAGAATTACAAAATCCTGTTTGAGATTTGATGGGAGGGTATTACACCAATCCCTTGTAACATAAGCCCTCAAGACTACTAAAATTTCATTCATATAATTACAATCACTTGTATACACAATTCTAAAAATCAATGCTCCAGTAAATGGAGATTCTGTTAGTAGACATACATTGGTTTTGGAGACTAACACCTCCCGCTGGAAATCAATTGAACTATACAGAAAATCTAAGGAATCAAAGTCATTCACCATCTTATTACATTTGTTGCAATACACAAAAGACAAATGATAACTCCTCATCCTCCTTATAGAGGTAGGAAGATACATTCACCTACCAATTACAACCTGGTGAATTACAATTGAAGTGGGAAAAGAAAACAATCCACAACAAAGGCACTAACCACTAAATACCATCATGCACAAGTTAAAATATGCCTATCCTTATAAGTAATTCATTTACCGCTTGGTTTCACTCATGTTTTTCCCTTCAAAAAATTCTCCCAACATTCGGTCTAGATCTTCTGCTGTGTATTTGATGTACTTCTGGGGATTCTTTCCACTCTCCACTAGAGGCCTGTACCATGGCAGGTTCCCAATTATGCATCATTGCAAAGTAATAGTTCATACAAAAACCACAAGGCATCAAATGCAAACATATCATCAACATATGAGTTGTTAAAAGAGTGAAGGAGTAACTAGGTAAAGCTGAAAGATGGGTTAATTTGCCAATAAAAAAGATGAACAAGGGAAGATTAACAACTAAGTGTTTGTCATAATGTCATGTAATTGAAGGCTGAGAAACATTTCAGGATAAATTACCGGTGACCTCAAAAGTTACATCCTAAAACACCTTTCAGTGCACAAAGTTTAAATCCTTACATTATAAACCACTCATGCTCATGAACATACTTCTAACACCCGTTGAAGATTTTAGAAAAACACTGGCACTGTTGAAATTGGTATATTGAAGTCGATTTGCACAAAACATGAACGGAATAAAGTATAATTTTCCCTGAGTTTTAAGAAGGATAGAATAGATAACTTTCCATTTTTTAAAGTTTCAAGTTATTATAATATTTTTCAACAGGATTTGATATTATATATATATATTTATATCAAAGGGGACTGAGACATCATTTCACATCCATGGATACTTATTATCCCCAACACAAAAAAAAGGAATGAGATGATAACGTTCGAAGTGAATTAAAATGAGGACACACCCAAAGCGTTTCACAAACGATCTATAGGCAGGCAACAAGACTTCAGCAACTGCAAGCCTAAGAGACTCTCGCAACTCAGTGTCAGGAACTGTCCATTGAGATTGTTTCTGATGGAGTTCCTCGAACATTACATTGAATGACTTAAATCTGACAACAAAATACAAGTAGTCACGTCAAAAGAAGTACAGAAAACACTTTCCCAAAAAAGGCCACAAAGAAGCAACTGAAAGGCTACCTGTCTTTAACAATTGCTCTTGAAGCACCACTACTGCTTCCAGTTCCACCACCATCACCACCAGCAGTGCCACTCCCACCACCTGATGAGGTAAGGCCCTGAATAGATAGGCACTGAAGAATCTGCCATGGAAAATAATCAAAATTTAGCAATGGCACAAAACCTTCTGAAATACTTACTAATCAATAGAGGATGATGTCTAAGTTTCTAGCCCAATGATCGCACAAAGATCAAAACACCAAGAAGCTGTAATCCCAAATGGGAAAAAAAGGAAAGCACGGAATTTACAGGCAAGAAATACACAAAAAGGATGTGGAACATGCCATCTAATGAATAAATTAGGATGTTAATGTTGTAAAACATCTGAACAGATCAGGTTCCAAAGTACAAGTTCTAGTTCCACATTGTATACATGTTTTGAATGATCAGTATACCATATGTACTAATTTTAACAGTTAACCTTTATTGCTTATCATCATGTAGGCATCAGACGGTAATCTAGGATACAAAGAATGAAATCTTTTACTTGGGTGGTGGTCTGATGTTTTAGAAATGTTTAAACAGTGTGGTAACTCTCTAGGTCCTGGAAGTGTTTTGGTATGTCCTTATATATCTTGGAATCCTCATTGATCTAAGTACATATGTCAGTGTATGATTGAGGGGAAAAAACCTATGTATTCCTCCCCATCCCTAAACGCCTGGGATGATGGGTTAATCAGACTGGCTGATTTAGCCTATACGAAAATTTAAAACAATAAAAGAAAATAAAGCTGAAGGACAGTTAACAATCAGCAAGCTCAATAGAGCACACCTTTGCCCAAGCATTTCTTTTGTATTGATTTGCATGCTGCTGCACAATCCTCCTATGTCGTTGTACCCAATCATCCCCCAGCAAATCCTTGGCTTCAGACCTAAAACAGGATAGGATTAGGAGGAAAAGTAACTTTGAACCACCAGAATATGCAATAAAAATATTATTATAACAAAAAAAATGTGGAAAACATACCTCCGAACTGATCTGACAATATAATGAATATTGTTCATGAGAAAAAGATGTGTCAATGCAAGGTCTTTATACTGCTTTGATTTCCCATCTAAATTGGTTTGCAAAGCTTGCATTATTCGCATCGTTACAGATGCTAGCTGTGAAGAATCATCACCTTCAAATTCCTGAAAAAGTTGCTTCAAGGTGGATCGGTAGCTGCAAAGTTTAAAGAATATGTGAGGATCTATGATGAAGATCCTGAAAAAATTATACACACGTCCACATACACGTTGGAAAAGAACAAACAAGCTTAAGCCTTATCCTTCTTACATAGGGTAGGAAAAGTGAATTTTAACACGCAACTTCTATTACCTGTAAAAATATAAAATAGAAGTATGGGATTGGACAATTCCCATATAGATATTGATACTTCATAATATGGAAAACAAAACCCAGTTCAAAATAGTTGGAATTTTTCAAGTAGTTCAAGATTTCAGTAATGATCTGACAAGGTTGAAAACAACACATCTGCAGAATTACATACATACCGCAGCACAATACCCATTACAGTCAACATGGATCTCACGGGCAATCAGGCACAATATTCTGAGCCTACATAAATTTAAAATACACACAGGAACACTTGTCTCTTGGACATGTAAGGTCTAAGACATATTTCATTATTGAGAAATACTAACAAATAACAATGCACTCGATTATTAGGTGAAATTTATTAAAAATGACAAATAATATGTTAAGTCCTAGTCTTAATTTAATGAGTTTCACTCATGCTTTTGTAGTCTCAAATAAATTTCAACCAATAACTGAGAAAGTGTTAGAAAGTGTGTTCCTAGCTCTCCTCTCTGTATTCTCAATTTTTTATTTCAGGATAGGTATTACTATTAGCCTCCCACTCCCACCAAATCACTTTCAAGACAATTTTTTTCCCACTGGTACAGCATGTCTCATTATTACAGTGAAATTCTACAATGATCTAACTACTCGGGGTTGGGTTGATCAAATTGATAACTATTTTTCAGCATACTTTCCTATCTAAATATGTTGAAATAATAGGGTTTGGAGTCTTATTGAATTAATGAGTTTAGGCTTGTACTCTTAAGTACTACACTAGTGCTTGACCTAATAATTAGTATATATAGGACCAGAAGATTAGTATTTATAATTGTGTCAAGTACTACTGTAGAGCTAGTAGTACAAGCCAAAGCCCACTAATATAATACAATCAATGGAAGACATTTGGAAAAATAAATGAAGGTACAAGTTTGAAATGTGAATTAATTTTTCTTTTAGAAAAAAAAAATCATTAAGAAAGAAAAGAAGAGTACAAAGCTAGAAGATAAGACATCCTCTCAATAAAACTACAAAAGAAATACCATGAAACTAAGATATTGAAGCATGTAACATGGCATGTCAATCTGTCTTCATGTCTAACAAGTAACAACTAAATGCACTTAAAAATCCATAAGCAGAACACCACAGAACTGTAAAAAAAAATTTGAAAACTTAAATATGAAAAATTAATAATAAATAATGACTAACACTTTCTTGATCGCTGATCAGCGAATGTGGCAAAAAATAATGGAAATAATTTGATGCTATGGCGACAAAATTGGGATCAGACAATATCATGGCTGAACTTACTCAAATAAAAACTTCACATAGTTAATTACATAGCTTGTCAAAGGATGGACAGTTCCATCTGTAACTGCAGTTTTTGTAGCATCTTTCTCAACTGCCTCTTCAAAATCTCCAAACGTCTCCTGAGCTGTTTGCGCAAGTCGTTTTGTCAAACCTGTTGCAGCTTCTCTTATTCCAGAGCAAGCTTTGCCTTTAAAAAGTGTTTCAATCTGCAGGTTGTCACGTGAATAATTTGATCACAAGATTATAGCACGACTGCAATATGCAATGTGCTTGTTTTATGTACAAAACAACCACCTAAACCTACTCTGTGTCATAAATGTCAAATATATCACATCTTTTCCTAAGAACATCATAAGTATGGTGACTAAGTAAACCTCTGAGTTAGAGGATGAAAGTAAAAAACATGGCAGATGAAACTAACAACAGATTCATACCGATGAGAGAATTATAATGTTTTCAACTGACATAAATTAGCCTCTAGACATGAGCTGGAGCACCTGTTAGAGACTTTTTATACTAACTAAATAGTTTGTTCTCACAAATGTTGTAAATAGTGAAAAGCCACTTACATGTACAGCCACTAACACTACATAAGGTCATTATTGGCTACTGAAAAAAATAAAACATTACAAAGTTGACCTCATAAGATTTATGAATTTTTATGTCAAAAGTCATACCTCTGAATGGAGCTCTTGCATTATTTCATACATGTCCAAAAGTACAAATAACTTTTCTGGGGATCTCTTGCTTTTGGCAATTGCTTCTCCAAAACTAAGTAGCATAGAGACACTGTTTGTAGTCACCTCAGCAAAGCACTGTTCAGTGAGTGAATCAAAGCCTTCAAATATCTGATCGCAAACTTTACTCTCACCAGCAAACAGCAATTTCACCTGTTCATGTATAATTATAAATTTAAAATAAATTTCAAAAAATGAAGACAAAAAACACAGTATTAATCCTACAATCTTCTTACTGCTATACGCATGAAATGGATCCAGTTTCCAATTTTGGCTTCCAAAATCTCCCATTGCAGCTTTTGGACATCATCTTTGTTGAGTTTCTCAACTCCAAGTTTTTGGAGGCTCTCTTCCAATACATTAGACCGGGCATCCCTACATATAACAATGATGATAATCATTATTAAATAGCAGTAATCATATTAATCATTGTTAGAAACATGTAGTATAAGTGCATTTTCATACACTATACCATTCGGTGTCTATGTTCACTGTGTACACAGTAGCCAACCAAAATACTTTAGTATTGCAATTAGGATTCATGTATTTATGGATCATGTACTACATATTCAAATCGTGTAGTTCAAACACAAAGTTCATCCTTGTGTGTAGTTTGTGCCTAGAGAGGGAGGCTCTTGGTTCTGTGGACTGAGAGAATGTGCTACTTTAATAAACTCTTTCATATATCATACATTTCATATACATTTATATTACTCCATTTCTAATTTCTTATGTTCTTTACAATTATTTTCTATATTCATGTTTGGTGAACTTAACACCTATATAAACTAATCACTTAGAATCAATCCTCAATTGACACTTCCTTAATTCACAAGACATTTCCTAACAGTTTCCTTCCTATACTTGTAATTTCACATCCTTGAAAGTGATAAAATTATAAAAGGTAAAAATTAATTTTCATGCTCGGTACTTTTGCAACTTTTAAATGTAGAGTTCTATGACAAGGAAATATCACATTTTCCTTCAGCAATGAATCAATTAACTAAATATAGAGCATTCATTACCTGTATATTTTGAGTAACTGTTGTTGGTGACCAGCTTCAACCATTTGCTGAGCTAAATCATGTAGCAGTGGCAAAATTCTTGGCGGTATAAGGGCAGGAGGTGTGTATACAACAGCATCAGCATTATTGTTGTGAGACTCAGAATGGTGATTAGAAGGATTCTTGCCACTAGGATCACCCTCATGGCCAGGTGACCCTGACGAAGGTCGCATTGAGTTAGGAAGGCAATCAAAGAGGCGCTCAGGTTCCACAGGTTTGCTGAAATCACACATAATAAAAGAAAATATCACGGTAACGTGAATAAAGTCTTCACAAAGCAGGAAAAAAAAAAGAATCACATGTTCATTAAATAGCCATACTGCATAGGCAGAACTTCAAAGATGCCATGAGGAAACCATTATCCTTTTATTGGGAAGATCACATCCCTAAATAATTTGAATATGTTTTCAATAATAAGTAACAACAAGGAAACCATCATGCAACAACAATCTGAGAACCACAGACAACAACACAATTCAACATGCATTGCACACATTGAAGCCAATTTTTTTTAAAAATCATACATAAATAAACCAAAAATGATGAGAGACACACACAATAATTTGCAGCAAGTTCGAGGAACCAACTACTATACTGGTGGTTGTTTTGGTTTAGCATTATAGATTGGTTTATCTGATGCAATATCATTTTCCTAACAGTCTGACACAACCATGAATGATTATTGAGTTCAAGCAAGCAAATGAACTTCTCAGCAAACAAACCAAAAGAGAACAACATTGAGCACAAAAATACAAACCTGTAAGATGATAGTAACTGCTTAAACTCAACTTCTAGCTTAGAAATAGCTTTAGCAAGCAAATTATTAGCATGGCCAACAATACCATCACTACTCTTAAAACCCTTCTTGCTGCCAAAAAACTGAATGTTGCTTCTCAACTTATCAATCGCTTCAAGATAGTTTTCCAGGTCTTCATGTGGCCCTTTAAGTATTTTGCCCTCTGCCTGCATATTAAGATCAATGAGAACATAAAACAATGTAATTCAGTTGGGGTGGGGGCAGAACCTGAGGAAACAAATCAAAATGACATATATGTGCCACATATCTTTTTAAATATTAGGATATGACAATTTTTCTACCCATCCTCTTTGAAACATGCTAAAATATCAGATTTCAGCTTAAGAGAATCATTTGAAATCAGCTTAATAGACAAGTATGCCTTCAGCTACAAGAATATATAATAGGGAAAAAAGGCTAAAATGAAATTAAGCAGCATTCCAGCAACAAAAACGCATAGGGTACAAGGATAATTGAGCCAAGCAATCTTTTTTAACCTGAATTAACCATACACTGTATCCTACATTTTAGAGATCTACACTGGACAGAGAATTTGATTTTGTAATTTCAATTTATCAACTAACACAGACTAACCTAATTTAAATAAATAAAAAAATACATTGAGAGAAACATATAATAGAGTTGAATCAAATAGCATAAAATCAGCACATAATGTAACAAAACAATGGTTGCTACAAAATCAAACCAACCTGACGATATTGATCAAAGTGAGCCAATACAACCTCCGCAGCCTTCAAAGTCCTATCAATATTCTCATGAGCTTTCCTAATAGAATGAGTTCTAATCTGCAAACCCAAAAGAAAAATTCCAACGTTCAACAATCACACAGCCACAAATCCACGAAACTCCCTTCAGATCCCCACAGGGGTTGCTCGAAAAACAAACAACCGACAACGCAAAACCCAAAATCCCATTGCACCCAAGTCAAAGAAAAGTCAACCCACTTCCCAAAACCCCATTTTGAAATATTCCCACCATTTTATACAGGAAAAGAGAAAAGGGAACCTGAGTGGGACGCATGGCGGTTTCAAGCGCAGAGAGACGGTGATCAAAGGAACCAAGAATTGAAACAACGTTGTCTGTTATTGTCTGGCTATTCTGCAGAGACTCTCTCATCATGGTTGCTTTTTCACTCAACAAATCAACACTTGCCACCGCAATTCCCATCTTCTTGCTGTTGCTGTTGTGCAATCTCAGAGAGAAGGTGGTGGAAGAAAGAAACAGAGGTTATTGTTGATAGGGTGTTTTCAATGGGTAGAAGCTGTGAATGTGATGTTAGAATGGACCCACGCGCCGGTGGCAGTGTTGTGTTGGTTTTGGTACTCCTTCTTCCTTCATGTCTTTCCTTTGACAGAGTGTGTCTCTTATTTATCCGATCTTCCACTGTTATCAATTCTTTTTTCTTTTTCTTCGAATAATGGGTAAATAATTACTCAATTTGCTGTATTTCTAAGTTTCATTTTGGTCGGTTGCGTGTGCAATAGCTGTTGAATTATTGTATATATTTATGTCCTTTGTTTTTTTGTGGGCGTGTATAAAATAAGCTCCCATTTTTCACCAACTCCTCCATGGATTGCACTTATGAGGAAAAGGTTTTGAAAAAAAAAAGTGTTATTAAAAAAATTGTTATGAAAAATGTTTTTTTTATCATAAATAAAATTGAGATATTTTTTTTATTTAGAGTTATCTAAATTATGATAAATTTTAAGTGAAAACTAAATTAAAAATAATATATATATAAGTAATAATATATTTTAAATAAAACTTTTATAACTTTTTCTTGCACTTTTGATCTCTAGTCTAGACGGGTGCATCAACAACGGATTGTGAATACAGGAACTAACTGAAAATTAGAGTATTAAACTAAGGGTATAATTGAATAAATTATTTCTTAAAATGGTGATTTTAATATTCACTTTCCTAATATCAAATATAAAAATGTATTGGATTAATTAAAATGATTGCGACAGTTAGATAAAACAGTGAGTAAAACTCAATGAGTATTTATTACAACACAAAGCAAAATAGCAATACAATAAGATGTTCACATTTTATTTTATTATTCTCTATATATCCATATAGAGTTCCACTTAAACATAACAATGGGGTAAGGGAATCCCATGTCCCTTTACTTCTTCACATCTTCATTTCCAAAGGATTTCTCATTCTTTCCACCTACACCAAAATAAACAATACCTAAATATTATTTTATTTAATAAAATACTTCTTAATAATCATGTATACCATAAATTTAAAAATAAAACTCATTAAGATATAATTTTCTATATGTTGTTTCCAATAATTGTTACCTCTAGCATTAGCAGGTTTCTGAGACTTCACAGAGGATCCCATTAATTGAGGAAACACTTCTTGAGTTCCTTGAAAATCTTGATTGTTGCTTGGCTCTCCTTTCACAATTTGAGCCCAAGTGTAGACTTGTTGCACTGGTAAAATATTTTTTTCATTTTTCTCAACCTGCAAAAATGCACCACATCAACTCTTACACTTAAGCAGACTAACTAAAACTATATTGATCTATTAGCTTCAAGAGTTTTGTTATGAATTTAGAATTTTAAAATAGTTTTGAAAAGAAAACTATATTTAAGAAAAAAACCAATGATAAAAATGGATTTATTTAATTTTAAAAATAATTGACTCAAAATTATGCTCCATTCAAACTAAAATAATCAAGAGTGTAACTAAATTATATATATTGGTCTCTTGAAAGAATACTTTTTTTTTTCTGAAAAATTCATACAACGTTGTCTATGTAAAAAACAGAAAAAAATTAAAAAAGGGTGTTGGCAACAACAAACATTTACTAGAGCACAAGGTATCTATGATCTAACATTGCTTGATAATTTATTAAATAATAAGATTTAAATACAATATTACAAGTGATTTTAGTGTTATTTTATTATTAAAAATAATTTTTTTTTAATAATATGTGTTGATAAAGATGACCATTAAATGTGACCAACTTTACCGACCGAAACTTTAATTTTAATTAAAAATAAGTAAATATATTTATGATATTAAATTAAATTTTTTTTATTAAAACGGTTTTTAATTTTATAGTATTTAAATTATTTTTTGTAATGATTTTTTATTATTGGAGTAAAAGAAACAATTAAAATTCGATTAAAACAACACTTTTAGGGAAACAATGAAAATTAAATGTCTTTATGGAAATTTTAAGATTGATTTAGCCCCCAAAATTCTTAATCGATTTTTTCTTAAGAAGAGCATGAAATCGCCCATAACTCACCATCCTTTGGTAGGAAATTAAATGAAAAAAAAAAAAAAGGAGAAGGATAATTATTGAAAATAATAATTAATCCCAGTATTTTCAATTTAATATGAATCTAAGAGGTTTCCAATTGTTAATTAAAAAAATTAAGAAGGAAAGTTTCCTCAAAATTGCTTCATTTTCAATTTTTTAATGCATGCAACAAAAGTGAAGTAAAGAGAAGATGGAAAGAAGAAATAAAACCTGATAATCAGGAACAAGTTGAGTTGAGGGGTGATGAGCAGAATTATGAGGAGCTTGAACAGTGACTCCATCCCCAGCATTGATGACATTTTCAGTGTCAGGTTGATTTTGATCTTCCTTTGGTGTATTGTTTTCAGAGAACAGTTCATCAAAAATATCAGGAGGTAGCAAAAATTCCACATTTTTTGGGTTCAGAGGAAAGTCTAAGTCTTTCTTGCTATCCATCACAGAGAAAACAACACGAGAAAATTTCAGTAATTCTTAGTTTCTAAAACAAAGAACCACAAACAAATGGAACGGTGATTTTTAATTTGCAGAGCATAAAGTTAACTATATATAATGCCTTCTCAAGAGTCAAGACATGGTAAATTACTAAAAACTTATTTTCAAGAAAAAATTATTTTCAAGTGGTCTATTAAATGAATAATAAATATGATTGTCAAATTTTAAAATTATATATAATAGTAAATTAGAATACACTGAATGTGTAAAAAATAACAAATTATATTAATATTCACTAATACTTTTACATGTTTTTTATTTTTAAATGAAAAATATTAAGGACATGATAAATAAATCAAATAAAAAATTAGACAATTTTGTAAAAATAATTTTTTTTCATGATCAATTTTTGAAGGATAATTTTTAAGGTGCTTTGTAAATAAAAAGGATAGTCCATGTTTCTTCTGGAACAATTATTACCGTTAATTTTAAATTGATAGATAATGAGGTTAGTGGTTTATTTGAAAAATACATAAATAACTTTTAATTTTTAAAATATTAGAAAAATCACAACTGTTAATCTAGATAAAATATACAATGTTCTTTCAAATTTACAACTAATACAATAAACACCTTCTTAAAGTATCGTTTTACTTTTGTAACTGAGTTCTTTCTATCCGCGCTACCAAACAATAGAAATAAATTCAATTTCTATGACGTGACACTAAACAAAATAAAAGCTAATAAACGTTACAATGGTAGAAAAAATTTAATTTATTGCAAAGAGGTGGCGTAACATATTTAAAAATAAATTAAAAGATATTTTTTAAAAATGAATTATACTTTTTAAAAAAAAATAAAAACTAAATAGAAGATATTGAATTTAAGTAAGAAAAATCTCTAAATTTAATAAATAGTTATAAGAGATTTACATTAATTTTTCTTAAAAAGAAAGTTAATTAGTTAAAGTTTAAATTTATGACTTATTAAATATAAAGTTTTATTTTACTTCACTTATTAATCCTTCAAGTTTAAACTTAAAAATTTTAGAGTTGAAAAAAATGGTAAACAGAACATTTTTTTTCTTTGAAGTGAAATGATTAATGAAAAAAAACTTAAAAATAAAAGTAAAGCTGAAACAGTATATGTAAATTGATTTACATGTTTGATGAAAAAATTTATCATCCTAACTAAGGTGCTAATATTTTTTTACAAAATTAATAAATTTAATTTTTTTTTTTATCTCAACACCATTTTTTTAAAAATTTTTAACCGCGTCCTTTTTATGTGTGCAAGTGGACAAAAATTTGCATTGAATTTTTAAGATACGACAATAAATGAAATCAATGCTAATAAACGTTGTGTAATCGTCACATCATTTAACTTTCAAATTTAAATTAAATGTTTGTTTGTCGTGTATAAAATGAATTTAATACTTTAATATATTTGAATATTTATATGCAGCTTTGACTTGTAGCTTTGACTTGTACGTCACATCAGGCGAGAGCAATGCTCGCTCAAACGAGAGTCGGCTCACTCACGCAAGAGTGCGCAGACTTATAGGGGTATTTAAGGAATTTCAGCGCAGAAAACATTCATTTTTCTCACCAGATATCTTTCCTCTCTCGTTTTCTCTCTATTCTCTCACCTTATCTCCTGAGAGAAAACCTTCTCAAAGCTGAACCCCTTCCTGATCCAAGTGTGAAGGTTTATCTCATTCAGATCTAGGTAGTTTTTTGGGTTCAATTCTCTGTCATCACTCCTTATTCCTTGATTTCTCTTCTCAAGGGCTTTCTATTTTGTAATAATAAGGAGATTTGAGTTCTTTGGTGTTGTTTCTCTCCTTAGAATTCATGAGGAGTGGATCTAAGAAAACCTAGTTCCAGATAAAGGAAACTTACCCTAGATGGATATTATTATGCACCCTGATAATATAAATCTCCATCTAGCTGAGAATGGAGTGAAATATGAATAAACCATAGGGTAGAACGTGAAGTATGTATGGCTAAAAGGATTTTCTGTTGTTTTGGTGAATAGTATGAAGCTAGTTGCGTCTGAAAGAAGTATTTGCAATGCTGTAATTTAATGCGCTGAAAATTATATATATATATATATATATATATATATATATATATATATGCATGTGTTGCATCATGTCAATTTTCTCATTCTAAAGTCGAGTTACATGTTTAGGTGGTTAAACGTCTAACGGTGGAAAAATGCTGAATTATGTTATGTCTAGATCCAGATACTAAGATGAGTCATTCTCAGATTGGAAAATTATAAGTTCCTTCTAGATTACTTAAACCGTGAAACTAATTAGAACTGAGATATTGCATTTGCATTAGATGGGTTAGGAATGGGCTAAACATGCTGCATTGATTGGCTAAGAATTATTGATATATATTAAGTTGTATAAAAAATTATATTACGTTCTACAATTTATAGTTATTTGTTACATAAGCTCACCCCTTGCATTTTGTTTGTGTTGAAATGTGTACTGCAGTGACCATACTGTGGCACGTGAGCAGGAGTGACAGGTGAAGCACGCACTTTCCATACTATAGTGTCTGACTGAGAAATGGTTTGAGTCAAAGATTTTAGAAATATGTAACTTTACTTTTGTTAGTCTAGGTCTTAGTTATGAATCTAGACTATTTGGCTACAGATTTGATTATGAAATGTAA